GTAAATACATGCATTATTTATATGGATTTATTAATATACTCAACATGGAACAGAGTGCTACAAAAATAAATTATAAAATACAAAAACAAAGATCCATCTCAAGACAAAAAGCTGCTCCATATGAAATTTTAACTTTGCACAGTCTACGCTGTCTCTGTCTATCACATTTAAATGTGTCCAAATTTTACTACGTTTCCTGTCACTATTTTTGTCACTTTCTTTTTAAAGTTTTCAGAAATGGGAATAATAATAATAATTCATACAGTTACAAAAGGTCTTAATTAAAAATAATAATAATAATAATAATAATAATGTGTAATAATGTAAAAATTCACGTAATAAAAATTGTAGTTCGTGTAGTTATAGAATATAAGTTCGTCTGTAATACATTTAAATAAAAATAAAATAAAGATATTTAGGTCGCCTGTCACTCTCGCGCATGCCCAGTAGCAGCTGTTTTGTTTACATCATACTGTCTTTGCCAGAGACAGCTGAGGACTGCGGGACACCAGCAGACATAACAAACAGCTTAACTTACCTTTTCCGGGTAAATTATGTCTGTAAAACACGCCATTAGCCGGGGGCTCGAGTTGGGCCGGTCGGTCTTTCAGCTGGGTCTCCTTAAGTCGGGTGGCCGAGTCGTAGCAAAGCTCCGAACTGACCGTTTTCGTGTAGGCCCGTCGGTCCGCACCGTTCAGCCTCAGGCTTTCCTGCCGTCTCGGTACCGCTACTATCGCACCTCGTTGAAGGGCCTGGCAGCCCAGCTTCAGTCCGCCGGCTTCAGGAGAAGGTTTGGCGGTGGCTCCCCGCGAAACAGGGCCGTGTTTCTGGCTTTTGGTCTCGGCGTGGGGCTTATCGAACAACAGCTTGAGGATGACCGAAAGAGTGCTGCGACCTGCCAGGAGATCCAGGTAAAGTTGGTGCATCAGATACAGTGTTTTTAATAAAGCAGGTGTGTTTACTACTTGTGCTTTGTGTATTTCCATTGTATGCTACTTCTACTCTACTACAGTCAACTTTTACTAGTTATTTGCTGATTTTACATACAAAACATGGTCCATTTATAACATTTTATATATTGTTTAAATTAAATTACTATTAATTCAATAATATTTTAATGCTGTACCAACCACAACACTAAAGTGCTGTTTACATGTTACCAATACCAATAATCCAGTATTAAATCAATTGGAGTATTATGCAGCTGGCCTCATTACCAAGGCCCGGAACCCCCATTGACACTCACTCTTATCCCCACCCTGTATATATGCATTACATTAATGCACTCCCGTTTCTTATCTTTATTTATTTACATTTTGAAAGTACTTTATTTTTGTATGATTTGTATATTTTATGCACTAATGCAGCAAGACAAATTCCTCGTAGGTGTACTAACTTACTTGGCAATAAACCTGATTCTGAATATATAACATTCTGCATAATATTGCTGCTACTTGAATATATTTAGCTGATAAAAGCCTGCTTTTGTACTGTACCTAAATGTTTTTACAATGTGGTATAACCAGTTTTCTTTTAATACAGGGTATTATTACTTTTCCCCCCACTGGTAGTTTGATTATTGGGTCATATCATGGATTTTGTGTCTATTAATAGATATTTGTTATTTACCTACGTTACATTAATCCTGTCTTTTTCCCTCTTACTTCTGCCACTACTACTACTAGTAGTAGGATGATGTTTTTATAGTCCGTTGACATGGTTAAACTGTTGTAAAACATGATGCATTTGATTTTGGTTAACCTGAATTATCTACAAATATGTAATGAGATATTATTACATTATCTTGCTCTTATGTAATAAATATTTCTAGATTCAAGCTCCCAAAACTTAATTGTACTGAAAAAAAGAAAACACCTTTTAAAAACATATAATTTGATACTTTTTTAGGGACTGTAATCCAGTGTGTTGATGCTCTCTGTTTCCTAAGGATGGGATGTGCACACAAACGTTCTGCCTCTTAAAAAAAATCTATTTCACACAATCTACAGGCTGTGTTTAGCAAGAAAAGGTTCCAGACCCCACTCAAGCCCTTCACCTCTGGATATAAACTGGAGGATTACATTATTGGGAATCAGATTGGGAAAGGCTCCAACGCCGCCGTGTACGAGGCTGCAGCTCCGTTCGCCCCACCAAAGGAGAGTAACGGGTCCCTGGTGCAGCTTAGGGAAGATGAAGAGGAAGGGGAGACCAATCGATCGCTGACGTGCTGCTCGCTAAAAAAATTCCCTCTGGCTATCAAGATGATGTGGAACTTTGGGGTGGGTGTTTCACTCTATCCTACACTTTCCCCCACAATTTAAGGCGTTTGTCTTGTGGACCACCTCGAATACACATCAGTACTTACAGGTATTTTTTTATTTTGCAGGCAGGGTCGTCAAGCGAGGCAATATTAAAATCCATGTCACAGGAGCTGGTGCCTGCAGCTGCTCAGGCCTTAAAGCAAGAAAACGAACAAATCCCTCTGGATGGGTAAGTATTATACATTCAGTGCGTTCATAGTTCATCACTAGTCCTGAAGGATTGAACGTGTGTAGGAAAGTTGCCCATGAATGACTGTAAACTCTCCACATGCAGACATTTTGGAGTCTTGCCCAAAAGAGTGTCGGCACACCCTAACGTGATCAGAGTGTACCGGGCTTTCACGGCGGACGTCCCGTTGCTGCCAGGTGCCGAGGAGGAGTATCCAGATGTGCTGCCAGCAAGGCTCAACCCTGCTGGTCTGGGCAACAATCGCACCCTTTTCCTGGTGATGAAGAAGTAAGACAAAAGAGAAAACACAGGACATTCCATTTCCTGTGAATGCCTTGTCCGTGTGATTTGAATCCTGTGCGTAAATGGCGGACCCCACCGCATAAATAGCAGCAGAAACTGTCCTTGATTTCATGAAAATCTTAAAGATTCTAACTCTTAGCAGCTGTATTTGAGACAACTGAAGGTATGCAGTTCAGTAGCTCTAGCATCTTGCCCTCTTCTGTTACAGCTACCCTCGCACGCTGCGACAGTACCTGGAAGGGTCCACACCAAGCCGCAGGCAGGGCTCTTTGATGATGCTGCAGCTCCTTGAGGGGGTCGACCATCTGTGCAGACAGGGCGTTGCTCACAGGGATCTCAAATCAGACAACGTGCTGTTGGAGTTTGACTCTGGTCAGTGAAATATTTAATTATTAAGAGAACAATTCACCATTTGATTCCATTAGTTCTGCGCAAAAATTCTATTAATTTTCGTTTTTTGCAGATGGTTGCCCTCGTTTGGTGATTACTGACTTTGGATGCTGCCTGGCCCAGAGTGACTCTAGTCTACAGCTCCCCTTCAACAGCATGTGGGTCAACAGAGGAGGAAATGCCTCCCTTATGGCCCCTGAGGTAGGCTTAAGTAGCTCTTTATTGTTGTTAAGTAAAAGAAGAAGAGCCGTCTCTTGTACAACTTAAATCATCAGTTGTAGACAGTAAAAAAAAAAAGGCTGTGTTTAATCTCTATTATTTTTATGACATGTCTGCCCTAAGGTGACCACTGCAGTTCCAGGGTCTGGTGTGGTGATTGATTACAGCAAGGCGGATGCCTGGGCTGTGGGTGCCATCTCCTATGAGATATTTGGACAGCATAACCCGTTCTATCGAGCCGTGGGACTGGAGAGCAGGAGCTACCAGGAGAAGCAGCTTCCTCCTCTGCCCGCCACTGTTCCAGCTGACGTGCAGTTAGTGACACGACTGCTCCTCAGGAGGAACCCAAGCAAGGTATAGCAGGGGCTGTGAAGGGTTTGTTAGGATACTGTGTGCTCGGTCAGTGATTGATAGGACCCAACAGGGTCATCCAAGGTGGAAAATTCTTAAAAGCAGGTCGTAAATTAGACAGTGTGTATACAATTAAATCAATAGCTATAAAAATAACTTTAACCTGCATTATTTATTTATGTCTTTGGCCACTTGGGGGCAGTACAAGAAGCCGTAACCACAACATTGGCATATTGTATATTGCTTATTTAAATATCCAGCAGATATGGAAGCAACATTTGCATTTATTTGATATGATAGATAAAATAGTAAATTAGTAACTAGAAGTAGAACTAAAACCCTATAAATATATAGTGTTACTGTACAACAATTCTGCTGAAAGGCGAGAACACACTCATGGAGGTTAACTTATAAGGTGAGGAACTACCAGTGACTCCTTTCACATTACACATTTTTGCTAAATGTTAATACAAGAATATTACTTAGTGTTGCACTCACATATGTACACATGTAATAATTGCCCAATTGTTGTGTGTGGTAGTAGTCTACCAGCAGTCTGGTTATATTAACAGTTAACTGACTCTTTGATGCTACAATTCTCATACATGTTATTGTTACTCTGCAGCGCCCCAGTGCCCGTGTGGCAGCTAACATGCTACATCTTAGCCTCTGGGGACGGAAGGCCCTGGCCAATCAGGACAGCATTGGCATGAAGAAGCTGGCTGATTGGTTGTTGTGCCAGTCTGCTGTGGTTCTCCTGAAAGGCTGCAGTGGACCCAGTGGGTACACGGTGGAGGCGGAGCTTCAGAGGAGCTTCCTGTCTAACCTGGACCTGGAGGACCTGCGCACCGCTGTGGGTTTCCTCCTGTATGGGCGAGAGCAGCGTCAGGCCTGCATTCTGTCTGCTTAGATCCACTCTCACTCAGTCAGACACATAGTCACTGATATTGATAGTCTAGAGTTAAAACGCGCTCTGATATTCAGCCTGACGTTTATATTTGTAATATTTATAGTCTTAGCCTTTACATCTAATGGCTATTAAAGGCAAACTCCAATGACACTGTACTCTTACACCGTTCTACATCCTCTGTGACAGTTATTGTTAATAATCAAATGGTGTAATTCACCTTTTCTGATTGCCCGACCTTTGTTAAACCAGGCTGCTGACATTGCTGATCTGCATTTCCCAGATTTCCCAGTGTTCTCCCAAACTCAGCATCACTACAGCATCAGCAGGAGTTAAAACAAACTGCTGCTAGTGTCCCTTTATGCAAAATGCAACAGGTCTTGTTGGTGCATTACATCATGAGGCTGTTGCTGAAAAAACCTTGTTATTGCTGTTTTCTACGATAAATTTTTCCTGAAATGAGTGTTGTTTGTTATCACCAAACAACTAAACTGGCCCAGAAATGCTAGGTACCAATGGTTACTGGTAATTCTGTTATAAGAGTTGGCATTTTCTTTAACATGCACTTTTTAGATATTTGATAAGGAAGACCCCACTCATACAGTAGTTGTTCCCTGTGTGTTTTGATTAGATATTAGATTATATAGCAGATATTTTACTTTAGAATAGAAAGTACACACTGTACTTGTCAGAACCTACTGTGTAGGGCTAGATTAAGTTTTACATATTCGCAAGTAACATGCAGCCTATAAACAGCTAGTACATGCATCGAACTGTCAGCAAAAAACAGATTGCCAGTGGGTGTCTGTGTAAGGTTGTGAGCCAAATAATCATATATTTACCCATTCTGCGTAATGCAATGCATGTGAAAACCTCCGCACAACATGTTACTACGCAGTTATCACAGTGATGATGGTAGATAGCATGGATCACGCAGATTATTGACCGACTTCTAGGATGTGATTGTGTTTTGTTCTCGTTCCTATGGTTTGCACTTTATGTCCATGTTTGCACTTGCTGGTGTTTGTTTGTTGCCAGGTTTTCTATAATACTTACTATATTATTGTAAATGATAAAATAATTATGCCAAATCCATGATTTGAATAGAGTGGGTTAATCCTTCACACTTCATCATAATCTGTTCTCAAAAGTAGTCATATTAAGCCTACAATTTTGACATCCTACATGCATAAATAAATATAATCATGGAGTCAGTGAGGATTACAAGGGATATGTTTTCATATTAAAGATGGAGAGAAATATTTTGGTTATATGTAGATTTTTCTGCTGTGAATAAATATATCTGAAAAAACATTGAAAAGCATTCTTCCTGTTTATTTAACCCCTCTTGTTTCCATTGTAACAGCTCTGTGAGTTAAGTTAATGATAAGATGATTTAGCAACAGTAGTCAGCAGGAAGATTCAAGACCTTGCAGGGCAGAGAGATCCTGCAAGGTTCTGTGTAACAAACCATCTGGTGCAGTCCTGTTAGAAATGTTCTAAAAATGTTAAATATAAACTACACTCTAAGCTATAATTTAAAAAATCTATTTAATATGCAGTGGGCTCAAATATAATTGAAATTATGCTCACAGACCCAACCCGTCTCTCCTGTCAGAACTAAATGTTACAAGATACTGTTTTTATACATTTTAAATTTGTAGATCAATCTTTACTATTAATCTGAACTCTGAACCATTGGAAAAAGCTTATACTAAAGCTAAAATAAGATGTCTATTTGAATAAGTACAACATACTTAAAAGTAGAGTGCAAACATTGTGGGTAATGTATGTACTCTGCAAAACTTGACATGTAATGTAGTGTTTTCTGTTGGTCTTTGTCAAATTACTATTACCTACAGTTTCCTCATTTGATGGTGTCTGATGATAGGGGATTTCATATAAGGTTTAGTTTAAAGGTTATGAAAGACAAATCACATGCAACTAATTCATGTAAAGTTCAAGTAAAATTATTGTTTAATTAATAAAAAACACACAAACAAGTTCACATTACAGGAATTTTATTTAGGACAGAGCAAAACTGGCATTTTAATTATCTTTACTCTGAACAGCCAAACTGGTAACTAATAGACAAACATTTCTGTTTGAAATGTATTTAAGAACTTTA